TTATTTTCAATGTGATTGATTATTTAACAAAGCAAAACATCCAAAGACAAATGAAAATTGTTGATGAACGTTGTGATTGTTACTTTAAACAATGTAAAAGCGGATGCATCATTGAAAAATCGGAAGTCAAACAATTCGTATTGGAAACGTGCACATTGCACACACAAAACATAATTCAGGGCTTTTGAAGAATGTTTTAAAGAAGTTGGAAATGAGTATGTTTGCTTGCAATTACATTGGTTGGACAATGTAAGTAGCAACTATGTTGCACAAAGACAAAATCGTTTTGATATCGACGTGATCCGTATTACGAGCGAGTTTTTGGCTTTGCACCACCACTCAAATTATGTACACTCCATTGCAATGCAAATATGTAATGCGATACACGCTATCCGCGACAGAGACTACTCACAAACGTTCGCAAAAAAAACACACAAAACCAGACAGACACGGGCAAGCTGTTCCATTTATCACTCAACAAATCATCCATTTTGATGGACAACCACGTTTTATATACATATATCACATGCACCTAACAAAAACGCCCAAGAAGTTTGCCAGTTGTCATTTTGGTTTTTTTACTTTCGTTTCAGATCCGGATTTTCTTGACGAAACATTTCATGCCCCATAATAATAATTGTTTGCTGTCATCCCATCAATTCAATGAAGTAGAACAGTTTGTTGTCGGTTTGGTTTATGTTTCAGCTGCTTTTTTGCGCTCGTTTTTTTTGGGTTGGCTTCGATTACGTCAACACAAGGAAAATGCAGAGAAAAATTGAAGAAAACAATTTTCTTATCTATTTTAATTCCCAAAGTCGACATGATACCATATTTACATTTCGCCATTCTACAATCGAAATGAGCGCGCCGAATGTGCGTTGTCGAGAGTAACAATCAATGTGTGTCATGTGCTTGTTTGTTCGGTTGTTTGAAACTTAGAATGCGACTCCAACACACACAGAGAGAGAGAGAGGGAGAGGTAAATGACAACAAGATACACAGTTTGAAACAAAAATATGAATGTGAGTTTAACTTCACATTTTGTCAAGTTAGAGCCGTTTTGATTTTAGCTTCGATGCACGTGCTTATGCGTATGTATGTGTATTGCTAACACATATTTCCGAACGAAAGCCAAACGCCAAGTTGATCCACGAGAGCGAAAGGGGGAAAAACGAACAAACAACCTTCAAATAAATTTGCAAATGTTTATTCGGAAAATAAATGCTTATATTCATATTTCGCAGTGTATAACACTGTGTAATATGAAAGTACAGATGAAAGATGTAGAAAGTAGAGCACAAAGTGTTTAGATAACAATAGTATGTAATGATAGTAATCAAATATATTATGCAGAAAATCTTGGCAAAATGTAGAGATATCGAAGTCGAATGAATGTGTCGTCTCAATTTGGTAGCGCAAAAATATGCTTAAAAAGATATGATTCAATTGGGTTTGAAGACGACGACAAACACATCCCACGAAATCATTCTGAAATCTTTTGTATGAGGCTCGGGCAACCATGCACCACAGACATCGGAATAGGATAGTGAACAAGAAATACAAAGACACACACCGAGAGAGAATGTGGAGGAGAGAGAGTGAAAAATAAACATACAGGAAGAAAAAGCAAAATATGCCGTATCGGTAATATAAACGCTTCAAAAGCCCATTATAAATTGTTAGTGTGGTATCTGGCTCTAAAGCGATGCTGGTGGCGAGGCAAAGGCACACGGGAACAATGATGCTTCAAGCATCTTGTATGCAATGCATGGGAGACAACAATGATATAGTAATAACAAAGCAACAGCAGCGACAATAACGACCACAGCAACAACATTAATGCCGAACATTGGGCATAAGAAATAACAGGATATGTCTATTCAATCATAGCCCACAAATGTCGAGAAAACATTTTAGACAATCAGCATAATATAAGCTAAACATCATATTGTAATCATTACAATCGTCATCATATTTTCGGTGTGGTTCAACATATTTTGCCTGCACCCAAAGCAAGCACGCTCACACGATTCGATCAAATAAACGCATTTTTTGATTTCAATTCCAGCATCAAGTGTTTGAATACCAAACAAACTACCAATTCGATTGAATGAAACCATCAAAATAACCAAAATTGAATATGCGTCAAGAAATATAATTTTACACATCACAAACTTCGTCGGAAAATGAAATCGATGCTCAACTTCATCAGTTTTTTAAAGTAATAAAGTTGAAAATTCTATATATCTTTCTTATTCACTGTCTCTATCGCGTATGCACAGTTATAAATGAACGACCCAAACACGCCGATCAAACACAAGCATTCGTTATGAATCGTAATAATATGCATCGATGCGATGAAGTTGAGATAGAGAACATGTGTATATGATTTGACTTTGAGTATAGAAAATGTGGGCGCGTTGCCACTATTAATATATTAGTTCATTGAATTCATGGGATTTGCCCTATGGGCCAAAGAACCGTATGCCATTTATGCCTCTTTTATATTCGGCCATATATGCCGAAGATGCTTGAATATAACTAGCGGTATAACATTTTTCATTGCCCAAACATAAATACTGCGAAATATTTTGTTATTTTGATTCAACCACACTCACAAGCACACACACACCGTTCAACACATGTACAAAACATCATATTGATATTAAATGCCGTGGCAGAGCATTGTTTCGTCGCTTGTGACTTTTTAATTTGTGTTGAAGCCCATATTGAACAAAGAGGCTCTGAACATACGAAAAGGGGAGAAACAGAGAGAATAGAGATCTATTTTCAATTATGGAAATGGCAAATGTTAACACAAACAATCAAAATCCAATGTGGATTTTTTTTTTCATCATTGTGCATTTCATTTTATGAATTTTATTTGTATTATATTTATCTGAATCAAACAATTGGACAAAAATATTCTTGGTTTTTGTAACGCACAACCATTCACGGTGCCCGTTCGACACATACCATTCGACATTAAACGAAAATTCGACATTAATGCAAAAATCCCAATCCAACAACACACCAACAACGAAAATAACCGCCCGAAAAAGACGGTTAAGTGAAAATTATTCACAGATTTCGCCAATTGTTTAGTTGCTAATTTTGATGAAAATGTTCATAATCCATTCGGCTTGGTTATTTTTTTTTTTCATTTTTATTTTTAAATCCAATTCATACACTTTAATGGTGTACATCTGTCGTGCAAGCAAGCAGCATAGTGTTTGTAGTTTTTTTTTATGCAAGTTGCTTTATTTGGTCGGTGGTTTGACTTTCGTGCGCAATACAATTTGTGTGTTTTAATTGCGACGAGGTTGAATAATAACTTTTATGCTCCGTAGCACTGTGCTGTTGTCATTGCTCTTATTCATGGTGTTGTTGGCTGTGGCTGATGTTGCTTTGATTTGCATTTGCATTTACGCTGAGCGCTTTTTCGAAACGGTCACTTCCTTTTCTGCCTGAAAATGAGTTTAAATTCAACGCTTTGGGTTGCCGCTTTTTCATCTCTCCCTCTCTCTCCCTCTCATTCAGTTATTTTATTTAAATATATTTATTTTTTCCTTCTCTTCATTCCGCTCTATATCTACATACATTTTGTGTTAATAGCATTTGCAAATTTGTTGCTACTCTTCCATACATTCCATCCATTTGATTGATTAGCTAGAGTTTTAAGAGCAAAATAATGTTAAATGTGAAAAGCATACATAGCATTTGTTCAGTCATTCGGTTGACATTCGTTGCAATATACAACACTTAACATATACATTTACATACACAGTCAGTCTTTTTATCAACTCATTTCGTTTATGCGGTTGAGTTAATGGAGCTGGCAAATGTGCATAAATTGATGATCAGCAACCGTTAACAACAACATAAACATGATGTCTAGTTTTCGAGAAATTTTCACACAACTTAATTTGATGTCAAGAAGAATTTACACATCCATACTTAATATCACATGCACCATTCGGACTAAGGAAATGCGCGCACTAGAGAGAGAGAGAGAGGAAGGAGAGTACTCGGTCGAATAACAGTGCTAAGGTCAATCCCTTTGATGATTCTGCTCATTTTAGCATTTGAATACACAAGCTAAAACGCAACAACTTTTTGTTTGACCCGTAACTGGGATGAACGATAATAACTGCAGGCTATTCGTATAATTTTCTCTCGCCCTTTGATAATACATGCGCGGCATTTATTAATCGATCGTTACTGTTTCGAGAGAAAAAAAAATATATCTGCATTCCAAGGAACTTTTTTTCATGAACATTTGTAATTGAATTTCCGAGAATTATTATGATTTCTCTTTCCTCTTGCGATTCATTCAATTTCATTTTATTAACCTTTTTATATATCAGAATTCACAATATGAACTTCTTCACTTTGGGATTTCATCATTTTCATTAAAAAAATGCACTTTATTTTATGAAACGCATGAAATTCCTTTATGTCCTTGACATTTTCAAGTATCAATAATATTTAAGAAGAAGAAAAATCATCCATTTCCATTTTCTGCGTAGAGTATCAATTTTTTTATCTATCGTTTTTTTTTTGTTGCTGTCATAAAACTTTGACTCAAATGAATTCAGCAGACTTTTCGATTAACTCGGAAATCACCGCAAGCCATTCAAATCACATGCATCTCGTAACAATTCATTTCCATACCATTTGCAAATGTTTTCGGTAGCACAATATGATAGCACCAGGATGCGAAAATATTCTTTAGAACAGCATGCATTTTCAAAAGAGAGAGTGTGTGCGATACAGAGACTGGATTGAATGGTAGAAGTAAGAAACCATGTTAGCAGATTAAGCACCACTGCTGTGTGTTCTAGTTGCATTCATTTATATAAATAAACAACAACAACAAAAAATTGTTGTAAAAAAATGGGCGAATATAAATATCTCGGGGACGAAAGAAAAAAAAACCCCGAAAACCAAACAAACAAACAAACTTCAATTTTAAATAGTACGTGAGAAATGGAACTTACCTGTCTTAAATTTAGTGCATAACTATGCGGCTATACATAAATTATGGTTTAGCAATCGAACGACACTATTGTCATTATCAGCATGTGTTGAGTTGTTCTGGAGAGGCGAGCGAGGATGTGATTTGTTTGATTTTCCGTGGGGTACTCGTTGCTCGTTCACACGCACACTGATTCAGAAAAGAGCACAAACACGTATACATGCACAGCACAGCACAAAAAAAAACACACTGGCCAAATGAGAGTGAAACACAATGGCACTTATTATTATCGCCGCTGTTGCTGATGAACCGATGGAATGGTAGAACAACCAAACTTTTCAGCTTTTAATCAGCCACTTGCAATACGCTACTCTCTTGTTTACTAACGATTCTTTGTATTATTTCTATTTTCATCTACTCTGTCGGTTTGGTTAATAATTTTTTTTCTCTCTCTTCTTCGGGGAACTGTGAGTTACTTGTTTTCACTATCCGCAATTTCACTATACACTCAACGGTTGAATAATTCAAAAATTATCAGCTAAAGCAACCGTTTTTTTCTCTCTTCTCTTCTTTGTTGATGCTACGTTTAACTTTCTTTCAATTAGGTTTATTATATTCTTTTCATCGATTGTTTATTCACTTTTTCACTCGTCGTTTATTTATTCACTAGCTGTGAAAAAAAAGAAGAAAAAGAATAAATGGATTAGCAAACGAAGGAAACAAGAAGTATACAAATTCAAGAAGATGAATATATAAAAAATATATAAATATATGTTTAAAATTTGTTGAACAATTGGTCGCGGCGATGGCGGGCGTCAGTTTAAGTAAACACTATTTAAGAATAATTCCCATTCAATGTGGATGTGTGTGTGTGCGTTGATAATGAAATATTTAATTTTTGTCATCATTCTTAGCGAAATGGAAAGAAAGAGCGCCGTACAAATCGAGCTCAAAAATTGAACAAAATACACAAACGTTCCCATTGTCACAATAAAGCAATATTTTTTTTTAATGTCTTACTCATTGGGATTTTGTATATATGTGTATATTGAAAATCATCACTTTATGCATAATTGAATGCATGTTTTATCCATAGCAAGCAATTCATGTAGCCAACAGCGTTTGGCTATTATAATTTTGTGTTCACCATTTCATAAAAGTCAATTGGAGCACACTTGCCATTTGAACGAATCTATTCTATTCGATTGTGTGTGTGTATTAAATGTTTGTACAAACAAATCAAAATGTTTGATTGGATCAAATGAAGCCTGAAAATACACATTGTCAAGGCGTCTTTGTTCAACGAAAACTAATAGAAAACTGTGCAGACAAAAAAAAACAACAACATAATTATTTTGTTCTAAGAAAATGTGTCGTTTGCAAATTTCGTTAATATACAGATAAGACAGAAACGGTATTTTTATGCGATGAAAAGTAAACAATTTTAATAATTGACATTTAAAAGAAACGATCGAGAACAAGGCAAACAGAGCGAAAGCAGAGAGAGTGGGTGAAAGAGAGCGACAGAATTATCGTGATAGAAAAGTTAAACTGAATGAATGCGAGATGCGCTAAAAGGTGAAATGCCCAAATAGAAGAGTGTACTAAATGTAAATGCCATATTTGTATGTGCAAAATGAGTTTATGAAATGAATAAATGGCAAAAGGAATTAGCGATCTATATGAACACACGAGCAAAAAAAACCGCCGAAAAAATTGCCAAGTAAGCAATTGTTCCTGCCACTATCACCAGCACTATTACGACAACGGCAGCTATATAGCAACAGTACCAGTTTGAAGTAAAATATAAATCATTGCGCACACAAGATTTTAAAACCGAAAAAAGTAACATTAAAATTAAATCGAAAAACATCGGGAATTATTATTCAAGAGCCGCTAGCAATAAAATACGCGTACAAGTCAGCAAAATCAGAAACGATGGAACAAGAGAAACAAATGCAAAGAAACAGAAGAGAGATATACAAAAAAATGTGTACGACGATGAGAGCGACTCTGAATTATGAGTTGAGAAAAATACTGTGCGCGGTTTTTTTTTATAAGGTTCAATTTGACTGGATGACGAAGCGGATAAACATGAAATGAAAGAGACGGAATTGAAGGAGATAAACGAAAGACAAAGTGAGTGAGTAAGAGCGTGTGCTCGCATGAAGCTAAAGAACTATACAAAGAATATGTACAGCAAAGCTAGTCAGTCAGGCTCGTATACAGATATTCATTATAAAAATGTGTTTTAAGCATATATAATGGCAACACAATAATCAACGATGACGCTGACAACAACAACAAAAATACCATCGATGCCGATTACGACGATGGAGATGGCGTTGAATGAAACAATGAAATTTTGCATAGAGCATAATAAGATCGCACACCGTCATGAAGTTTGAAAAATGCGCGAGCTAAACATACGAAAAATGTGCATATATGGAAGTAGCATAACCAGTGGTTTTTTTTAACCACCCATACAAATCGAAGATATTCGCTCTAACTTGACGAGAAGAGCAGAAATGAATAATGAAAAAGAGAACACAACGCAAAACAAGAAAATCAGCTTTGCTTGACGAAAACGAGCAGCGAATGAACCTTTGCACACAATGTAAATGGTCGCAAACAACAACGGGCAATACAACAATCGCACTCTTTCTAACTCGACTTCTTTTTTTGCTCTTTCCCTTTTTGTAAGCAACAGATTTGAACGATTTCGAAAATAGAAATTGCACGCGAATCGCGAGTAATCCGATAAAATCAGAGTTTATGTTGTTTTGATGGGTTTTCGGCTTAAGATCCAAGCCGAGAAGGAGAGAGAGAGAGCAAGAGCAAGAAAAGAAATGGCTTTAAAATGCCGATGAAAACACATGACTTCTTTGAATTTTGCATTTTCAAACAACAACGCATTTCACTATCTCTATCATTCAATGCTTTGTGTTCTTGGTAATCGTATATTTTAATAGGTTTTGTGTATACACACACATGACTGTTGTTCAAGGTATACATTTTGTTACAGAAACTGAAAATGGTATCAAAAACACCGACACTCTTTGGATTGGTGGGGAAGCGAATGATTTTTTTGTCAAATTAGCTAATTTCCATAAAACGGATTAGATTGAAATCAGGGACAATTTTACACATATTCCATTCAAATAGTATATTTAATGTATGAGTTTTTATTTCGTTGAAATCCTCTCGACAAATTTTTTCGTTTTAATTTTCGTCGTTTTTGTTGCTTTTTTTGTTCTTCTCTCGTTCAAAGAGCTCGTTGGATCTTTTGTTTTAAACTCAATTCTACATTGTCATTTTACAACAATACATGCGCCAGTACTCATGCACAAATACACACACACACACACACACACACGTTCATATGTGTGTTAGACAGACACCGCTAGTACTGCCGCCGCTATTGGTATGTACGTAATAACATAGCAATAAGACGTGATGAATAGATTTTAGCATTGGTTCTTCAATCTTCATGTTTCGTTTTAACGAGTTTTGTTTTTCTCGAGTGTTTCTTGTGATCGCTTTAATATTTTTCACTTCTTCGAATGCTATCTGAGTTCTTTTTTTTTCTTCCTTTCTTCTTCTTCATCTTTCTGTTTCGCGCTCTCACTTTGCCTGTCTCTCGATTCTCGGACTTTGTTCATTTTTCTGTACGTTTTCTTTCTTTTTTTTCTGTGTTGTCTCAGTGAAGACAAAAAATCGAATTTTGTTGCATTCTCTTCTTTTCTCGACAACCGAATCTTGTAGCAACACCACCATCAGCAGCAGCAACATAGTACTCATGAGTCAGTTGTTGTGCGTTGTTTCTTTCGTTACACGACTATTACAAGACATGAATCGTTGTCTGAAATCCCAGAATGCAGATGCACTTTTAAACGAACAACAAAATAATACAGAATGTTCGAAAAGTTGGACAACTTGGAATTTATTCGATACAAAATGGAATGTAAAATGCGTCTAATTTTGCAGCAAACAGTGAGTGAGAACATCAAACAAAATGAGCGAACAGGAAAACGGCCACAGAATCAAAATTATTATTTATACAATGGAAAAAAAGTGTATGAGAGAAGGTTTTTTTTCTTGATGGACGAGTGCATTTACACACACACACACGACCAATCCGAAAGCCGACTGAATATTTTCCGCAAACTGAAAAGAATGTAATTTTTATTATTATACGGTAATTTAGATTATTCAATGTAGGCCCCGGTATTGCATAATCGCTTCACTCCAAATGTACTCGTTATACCATATAATGTTATATGTTGTGCTATATGTTTTGCTTGTTTTTTGGATGCGGTTACTGTTTTCTCTTCCTCCTTCTCTCTCTCTCACTGCTTTTTGTTTTGTGCAAACATCCATATCCACAATATCGAAAAATTGAAATGACTTGAGCGGCATATAATTTTTGATGTACATCGTTTCATCGAAAAAAGAAACGAGCAATCTTCTAGTGGAAAAATGTATGGGATGGTGTGTTTTTCTCTTCTCTCTCGTCAATATAACAATACACAATTGAGCCTAAAATGATGACGGATCTCAGTTTTGTAAGAATGTGAGGGGAAAAGCGGCAATCATACAAATAAGTCGAAAATCTTTATTACCGCTTGTCTTGTTTTGTGAGAATGTTGTGAGAACGAATACAGCACAGTTAGGGCCATTTTCGGCCCTTTTGCTCTCATTTGTTTCGATTTTGATTTTGATTTTTTTTGGGGTGAGGAACATAAGTGATTCGAATACATATGATCTGTATACAAACGCAATCGATTCGACAATGGAGTTTAACATGTCAGCTCTTTTAATCGATCTAAATCCATACATATCACCATTACAAAATACAATACACTTTCACAAATCAATTCAGGCCGAAAATCTCTTTGGCAATCAAAATCAGTTCGTTCAAACCGATTTACCGAAACCGATCACACAGCCCCTACTCTTGACTACTTTCTTCAACATAACAAACTATCGTAACATTTATAACATTGTATCGACAACGGTGATGATGATGATCATGCTCTTATCGGCCGATATAGAAGGACGGGGTACACAGACAGTAGACGAAAATGGCCACGGCAAAAGAATGGATGAGAGGAAGAGAGAGTAAGAAAGAGAGAGAGAGAGGGAGAAGAAGTATGTTAGAAATGGAAATAGAATGGAAGAACGAGGAGAAGGAAAAAACAGCATGGCTATAAATACTCTTCAAAATCCTTCTCACACCATTCAATTATAGCTGTAGCCATCAATTCGAGCGCAACAACTGCAATTGTTGCAGCTCTGTCCCTGTTGACTGACGAAATACATGATTTTTATGTGTGTGTATCTGTGTTTATACGCGTGAGTTTTTGTTCCAATTTTGGTTCATTCTCTCATTTTTCTCCTCTCTTTTTCACTGTTACTAGATCAAACATGGAATATAATCGGTTGGTTGCATCTGTTGTGCTTGTAAATAAAAGCAGACTGTTCTAATGCCATGTGTAATGAGTTGGCAATAAAATTACCAAACTAAATAATAGTCATTTTCGTTTTGCGGGATATTTTCAATGCGATAACATTTCCGTTGTTGTTTGGCTCAACACGCACACAACCAAACACCAAAATCCACACAATTCATATTGTGTATTCGGTGGTCCGTGTGAACATAAGAATATT